CCCTCTACAGCTCCCTGAAAGGAGGGTGCAGAGAGGGGGGATGAGTCTCTTGAGCCAAGGAACAAGCACCAGGACAAGAGGGAATGGCCTCAAGCTGCATCAGGGAAGGTTTAGACTAGATGTCAGGAAGTATTTCTTTGCAGAAGGGGTTGTTGGGCGTTGGAATGGGCTGCCCAGGGCAGGGGGGGAGTCCCCATCCCTGGAGGGGTTGAAGAGTAGAGTCAACATAGTGCTGAGGGATCTGGTGTAGTTGGGAACTGTCAGTGTTAGGTTAATGGTTGGACTGGATGATTTTCAGGGTCTTTTCCATCCTAGATGATTTTTTGATTCCCTTCAGTGTTCCTGTAGTGTGCTGTTCTACAGCAGCAGAAGTGGATCCCACTTCTTTCCTGGAGCGCTGCTTCTGCTGCTGGTGTGTAGTAGTGTTATCAGGAGATTTCATACCCAGAGAGGGACCAAAACAGAAACTAGAAGCTGGAGGAAAATGTTCCTGACTGTGCCAGAGCCGTATGGAAGGCAGCACATGCACTAGGCAAGCCCATTTGATGTTGGACTTCTAGGAGTCACCTCTGGGATCTCATGCTTGTATGACTTAACTGCACACGGGCTGTTAAGGGTCTTTAAAACAGGTGAGCCAGGGCTGGGGTCTCAGCACACTACGTCTTTACAGGTCTGAGTTATGTCCCTGAACAAGGGATCTGCAATAGGTGTCCAAATACTTCAGTCTGTATTTTCCAAACTGATCATTAATGTTGGATACTTTGTTGAAGACATGGCTACCTTGGGAAGCCAAGGGTCTGATTTCTAGGCCTATTTTCCATCATATTAACTAGTGGGAGCTGAAGGTGCTCAACAATTGTGAAAAACCAAGCACAGGACTACTGTAGCTTGGACCATCTGTACATCAGCCACCCCTGTTGTTGATTATTCCTGATACTTTTATCCTTTATTTCTTTTTGTTTGTTTGTTTTTCCCATTCCTCTCACCTTGTAAAAGGAGTTTCAAAACCAAATCTTAACTGTTGCAGTTCCTCAGATGTCATGGTCATGTACATTACAGAAATGTTAAGAATGAAATTAAAGTATTCCGAAGTCTGTGATTTAAACTAAATGCTGCAGTGGCCAAACACTGAAAGACAGGATTAGAAAAGGGTGTGGAATAATTAAACTTTCAGCAGGAATCACCAGCACTGTGGAATGACTGAGGCAGGAATTTCATGGAAAGCTTAGTAGGTGATAGCCTGCATCCATGATTGCCTCAATGCATCTGCATAAGGAGGATGAATTAAAACTGCAGGAATGAAAGAGAATTTGTCTATCTTTAGGATGCCTGACATTTTCTGTTTTATCCACCTGCATATGCAGGAATACAAATCTTGCACACAGTTTTAAAAAAATTCTACAAATGAAGCAAATTAAATGGTCACCACGAAGCTCAGGAGTGAACACCAGCCCCGGAGAAGAGGCAAGTAACAGTCCTCTCTGGCTTCAGAGTCAGCAACATGAACAACCCTAAATCAAGGACAGACATCATGGGGCAGCAGGAGATTCTTTATAGCAACATAAATAGATAAAAGCTTCTGTTCAATAACACAGGAATTGGCCGGGGCAGCTGGATAATGGTTTGGGCCTGCAACGTTAATGGGGCTCCTTGTAAACTTATACTTAGACAAATGCTTTGCTGGATCGAGGCCCAACATTTATCATGCCTCCCTCCAAGCGAGCCAAACTCAGTCTATTAGTTTGGCCTCTAGACGTACTGTTCTAATGTTTGTGGCGACTGATATTTCAGAGGTCTTAACTCTTTTTTCTGTTCTGAAAGGTAGAGAGATGCCTTGGCATTGGAAGCTCTCTGCAGCATGCTGAGGAGACGTAACCTTCTTACCACGCTCCTGATTGCCTTGCCATGGGCTCTTCTCCTAACCTTGTGGCACCAGTACCCAACCACCCACTACCTCAGCCTGCTGAGAAGTAAGTGTGAGAGTTCTGCTGTCAGCGTGCTGGTGGTTGTGATGATTGCTGTGTGAGCCCTTGGTAGGACATGCTCTCTCACAGGATGGGTTAAACAAAGACAAACTTGCCAGAAGGCCCTCTCAGGGTCTGCCTACAGTAGGCACACAAACCTTGCACTTAAACACGCACCTTAGGCTGGCGCTGGGGAGAGGATGCTGATGTGCTGAGCACTGACTCCAGACAGATGTGTGCCCAGCACTCCCTGGAGAGGAGACAGGCCGGCAGTGATCAGTTCTCTAACATCTTTCTTCTTCTCCCTTCCTTTCTTCCTTCCTTTTGTCCCAGAAGAGACAGATGAGAACGTGACCTCTAAAGCTCTCCTCAATGGTACATCTGCACTGAGAGAAGAAGGCCTCCCATCATGCATTCGGCAGCAGCAAAGCATAGGGGCAATGCCTAAAGTCATCCAGAATTATGTGTACTCCAGGCCTCCCCCATGGTCAGACACCCTGCCGACCATCTTCGTTATCACCCCTACCTACACCCGGCCAGTGCAAAAAGCTGAGCTGACCCGTCTGGCCAACACCTTCCTACACGTACAGAACCTGCACTGGGTGGTGGTGGAGGACTCGCCCCGCAGGACCAACCTGGTATCCAACCTGCTGGAGAAGGCAGGGCTCAACTTCACCCACCTCAACGTGGAGACGCCCAAAAGTCTGAAGCTGGGCCTGTCCTGGATCCCATCCCACACCCCAAGGGGGACACTGCAGAGGAACCTGGGACTGCACTGGCTAAGGGACAGCTTCAGCAACACCACACCACCTGAAGGGGTAGTGTATTTTGCCGATGATGATAATACCTACAGCCTGGAGCTATTTGAAGAGGTAAGAGCTGTAAAATTACCTGGGACAGAAAAGCAGGATACAGCTGCAAAGCCTCTTAAGGCCAGGTGCACTTGCAGAGACCTCTGAGACAGAGCTATCATGTGGACTTTTAGCATCAACTGGGAGACAAAGGCTCTGGCATGCTGCCTTGAGTTCTCCTCACCCACCCTGCGCTCGGTGGGAGCTGGGTATAGGGCAGATGCAAAGCAATAGTTATGCAAACCCAGTAGACATGCTTTAAAGGGCTGAAAGAGCAAAGATCTGCCATGATGCAGACTGCAGCTACACACACACCCCCCCGTTGCACCAGTTAGAGCCTCTTTTGTCAGGGACCAGAGGATATACACTCCAGAATTTGTACCTCTCCTCAGGGAGAGCTGACCTGATTTAAATAAGCATTGAAACCAAACTTCTGACAAAGCACAAATCTGCACTGATGTAGAGGTGTGATGGGTAGGAGATGTGGAAAAGTTGACTGACTTTCTAATCCACCTTTTCTCCTTGGCTGTCCTTCTGTATTCCTGAGTTCCAGCCACCACAGCCTGTGCCCCTGGGATCAGAGAAGCCTGCCCAGACTTCAGCTGGAAACCTGGCTTTTGTGAGATGCTAAGTCTATTGTAAACTTCCAAAATTCATTAAACACCCTTGGCACCAATTTAAACCAAACTGTACTACACCACGTGAAATACAGTGTTATGCATCAGAACACCTTTCCAGTTTTCAGAATTTTTTAGATCTCTGCTAAGATCATCCTTTCTCACTTCTTTGCAGGTCCTTTCTGACAATTCCACTAAAACCCCACTGTTCTAGGCTGTAGGCCATGGATGGAAGAACAAAGCTGGGGGGAATTTGTAATAATTGAGGACAAAGATGCATCAGTCAGGGAGGGAGATTACTTGCATGAGGGTGACATTGTAGTGAGTGGAGTTGATAATATGGACCTAGAGGCTCGGTAGAAGTTGCGTTTGGTATTTATGAAAACAATAAAAATTTTACAAAAAATGGTGAAAGTTCAGATGAGATCAGAAAACCAAAGATTTTCCTTGTTCTGAGGGACTGAACATGGGCACAGCAGAGCAGTGGGTTTGATGTTCAGAGAAGCACGTGCTAAAACAACCTTGTGGCTTTGCAAGCTTCAGCTCTTCAAGCGGTAGCGCAGAGGAACAAGAGCTTGGGCTGTCTGGAGCTCTGTGACGGTGTGGGAAGGCAAGCGTGGAGGAGAGGTGCCAGCGAAGGCAGACGATGGTTCACCAGTGGGTTGGGACAGACATCGTAGGGTTGAATTCTCACAACACTGTTTCCTTCTGGCATACAGATGCGCTACACAAGGAGGGTGTCAGTCTGGCCAGTGGCTTTTGTTGGAGGGCTGCGATATGAATCCCCAAAAGTGAGCCCAGCAGGGAAGGTGGTGGGCTGGAAAACCGTCTTTGACCCTAACCGGCCCTTTGCTATTGACATGGCTGGATTTGCGATCAGCATCAAGCTGATTTTGGAGAAGCCTCAGGCCAGTTTCAAGCTGGAGGGAGTTAAAGGAGGCTACCAGGAAACCAGTCTGCTGAAGGATCTAGTGACTATGGATGGGCTGGAGCCCAAAGCAGCCAACTGCACAAAGGTGAGTAGGACAAGAGACCCTGAGGATACATTCTCCTTGCTGGGTCCTGGCTGCTTTTGCAGCCTCCTGCCATGCTCCTCCACCTTCCACTGGGCCCTCCCTGTGCTGGCACTCATCTGTGCCAAACCGTGCTGGGACAGATGGGCAGACCCTGCCAAATTCTTCACAGATACAAAGCTCAGAAAGCACTGAGGAACAGTTAGTACTGTGCACTCTGTGTTAATAAAGAGCATCGGATGTACAATTTGTGCCCAGATTGTTTCTCCAAAACCCAGGAGGATTGGCAGAGGGTTGGGTCTGAGATTTCAGTCCAGACTGATCCCTCCTCCTTGCCACTTGTTTCATGGTGCCTGTGAAGTGTCTCCCATCTTCAAACCCTTTGAATCACACGCTTCAAAGAGCTTTGAGCTCTGGGTCGCTGAGGATCCCACCCGATGGATACGCTGCTTTTGGCATTTCCACAGCATCCAGAGCCCCTGAACTCTTTGTGATTCCCTCTAGGTGTTGGTCTGGCACACAAGAACTGAGAGGCCCACTCTGGTTAACGAAGGCAAGCGTGGATTTACAGACCCCAGAGTAGAGGTGTAAGCAGAGAGCCAGCTCCAGGGTGTGAGTACCCTTGTCTTTATTGGTTTTGGCAAGGTAAATAAGCTGTACCCGTTCCCTTATTTATGCTATTATTTCCTCAAAGACTGCTTATATGATTGTCTCAGTAGCTCCCTTACCATGCCACCCTTTGCACAAGAAGCAGATCCTCATCTTTACCCACATACGGTCTGCATTTCATATTCATTCATGCTTCCTTGCAGTCCACATGGAAGCTGTGGCTGCATACAGAGAGAAAAGTGGCAGAAGAGTCCTGTGGCTTCACTCAGTAATAATGACAAGCCAAATTCCTTGCACGTCTATTGCTGCTAGCTCCAAACTCTCTTTAGCGTGGGAGTTGTCCTACAGTGTGTGGAAAGAGATCACAGTCCTGCAGACGAGCTTTTCCCCTGCAGCCCTGCCACCTCTGCAGTGCTTCATGCATGCACCTTCGGCTTTTATCCTGCATGAACAACCGTGGTGTGGGTGCACAGGGAAAGACTGTTGGGATGCTGAGACCACCTCAAAACAGGAACCCGCAAAACCCAACCTACACATACTCCCACAGAGTTTGAGGGGCTCGGTACCGATGTTACCAGCTAGGAATACATCTGCTGCTGAGGAGAAATAGTGAAGGCATTAGAACTGCCTTTAGTGGTCTACAGAGCCAGCCAGGGTCAGCAGCAGGAGGGTGGATTATGGCAACCACCACAGGTGAGGGCAGGAATGTATCAGAGATCAGTGATATGTCCTTAGAAGTGGAGATTGATGAAGAACAGGCTGCAGAGGAGCTATGACCTCCTCTGCCAGCTGCCGTGCCCCTGATGCTAGTGCCCACCTTTGGCAGATTCCTAGCCCAAAACTCTGAAAAGAATAAAGGTGTCCAATTTGGGAGTACCCAGTTCTGTCTGGAATGACTCATATCTGTGGCAGAATACAGGATGCTGAATGATTTACTCCTACTTCGGAAGATATTCCACGGCTGCTTTCAGCCCTGACCTCAATATACACCTCTGCTCAGCTCTACCAGTGGAAATAAAACTGACAGCTTTTGTACAGGCAGTCATGAGTAGTTCAGCTTCTGCACTGACCTGCTGTGTACATTACTAGTAGCTGCATACAGGATTTCCACATCACCTCATCATCTCTGAGTGACAGCCATACAAAGAGTACAAAGCAATCCCAGCACCTGCACACTCAGCAGCAGATGGGAGGGACATGAGTCAGTTGCCTAAACACAGACTCCTGGGCCACCAGAGGGACCCTGGGGTAGCCTGCCTGGCCCTTCTGTAGGCCACAAACTCTGTACTATATCTTTTCATTAGTGTCTCAGATATCCTAGCAAACCTAAAATGATGCCAGACACCTATGCTTCGGCAGCAGCCCCTCTTTTAATCTGTGCTTCTGTGAAATCCACTAGCATAACGGACTCATTATACATCCCATCCATGCTGGGTCTGCAGTAGGCTAATGCTGCGGTTGCCCAAACTCAGCTCATAAGGACTCAGAATCCAGTTAACTGATCTGGAGTTACCATTTACTTTGTAAAGGATGAGCAGGCTTATAAAAACTCAGATGGATTAGACCTGCCTTGCCTGTTTGTAAGAGGAGGGGTTAACTGATCCACTACGGATGCAGAGAGGGGACGTGATGTTTTCATAAATGTGCCATTTATGTATCGGAGCTTTTGGTCTCACACTCCCTCCCTGGCCAACCACTCAGCCATCCTCCATGAGAAATGCCACACACCTGCTATGGATTCACAGAATCACAGAATCATCTCAGTTGGAAAAGACCCTGAAGCTCCTCCAGTCCAACCATTAACCTCACACTGACCATTCCCAACTCCACCAGATCCCTCAGCGCCTGGGTCAACCCGACTCTTCAACCCCTCCAGGGATGGGGACTCCCCCCCTGCCCTGGGCAGCCCATTCCAACGACCAACAACCCCTTCTGCAAAGAAATGCTTCCTAAGAGCCAGTCTGACCCTGCCCTGGCACAGCTTGAGGCCATTCCCTCTTGTCCTGGTGCTTGTTCCTTGGTTCAAGAGACTCATCCCCTCTCTCTGTAACCTCCTTTCAGAGAGAGTTATAGAACAGTCACTCGTGGGAATGGCTCCCTGTAAATGATTTGTTGTGGGAAAGGGAAGCGACCAGTCTCAGAGATCAATGCCATTCATTCAACCAGCAGGACTTGCACCCTTTATTTAGAGCCATCCTCCCTGGTGCTTTCCAGCCAGAGTGTTGGTTAGGCCAGCTCTGTAGATTTTTGAAGGAGCTTCCCACTTGCATTAGCAGTGAATTTGACCACAATCCCTTCTGCACCACCATCTGCCACGTGGGGCAGCTGCTCTGACCTGCTGAGCAGAGCGGGCAGGTGGCATCCACTCCAGGAGACACCTGTGAGGTAAATTGCTTGACTGGGCAGTCAAACAAAATCGTTAGATTTCCCCCCTTAAATTTTTTAATTGAGATCTCTGCTGATGGCTATGGTGTTTGGAGATCCTTTCTATCAAGGCTGCTGAGCTTCAGAACCTTAACAGACATGATCTATATAAGCCAGCTCTGAGGAAGAAAAGAGATAAAATTGCTCCCCTGAGGATGTTCTCTTCTTAGACACAGGAGGGAGAATATTTGTCTCCTCCTCCTGGCAATTTGTCCTTGTTGAGGATCAGATTGAGCCAGGCAAGACTCCCAGACCTCCCAGAGGCCTCTTTCCCCTTCAGTGCCTGCAGATGTGAGCCAGGCAGACGTTGCTCAATGTGGGATTTGGTGCTCTGTTGATCTCTAGTTGGACCACTTGCACGGCTGCTTGGCACGTGTGCCCACTTGGTGAATTGCCACAGACACAGCATAAAGGGACCTGCTGATCATGTGAGCTGTGTAGATCAGGCTTCAGTGGGTGCTACATAAGTGGCAGTTATTTTGTCCCAGCTGGAGTCCACTCTCTTCCTTGCCCACATTCCCACCGGCCTTAGCTGTGTCCAGCTGAACCACGGCGGTGTTTGTGAGTCTGGGAGATTAAACTATGCACCAAATCCGAGCAGATCTGCAAAGGGGGAGCCATAAGACACATCAGGGTTTTGTTTTTCACAAGGGACAACAAAAAAGAAAAAGAAGAACCCAACATTTTTAAAAAAGGGAAGTGATTTCCTTTCTGCACTAGAATTTCTGCTTTTTTTGCTGCCCTGAGAACCACTGGGCAGGACCTGAGATGTATTGGGATTGAGGATCAGGGCTTAGAGCCTTAGAGCCACAGCTACATCCTCAGCCTCTTCATGCAAAGTGGAGGAGCAGGAAGGACAAAAAGGGGGTCTCTGAGCCCATCTTCAGCTGGACAAAGGCTTTCACTTTGGAGATATTGTGAAAAATGGCTCTAAGACTGGTCTCTGAGAAACACTGTGGGGATGTGAAGAGTAGGAAGGAGAATGTGGAGGATGGGGAAAATCCTTAGGATTGTCTGTATTGCAACAGGGACCACAGAGCAACTGAAAGCTATCACAGCATATGTCCCTGCTGACTGTACTGAAACACCCTTGAAACACTGGCTTTGGCTTCTGAAAGCAGGAGATGGAAATTAATTTCTCTTCATATTTTCCTTTGTTAAATCCCTAAAAACTATCACTCAAGACTGATGTTATAAAAACCACCTATTCTTATTGCTAACGTCTATTTACAGGCATCTGAAAGAGAAGAGTTTGCTTAGGTTAGCACAGGATTCCTGCTGCCTTGTGGTATTTGGAAACAGGGAAAGAAGTTCACCTGCATTTCAGAGCATGCAGTTCACCTGCTGTTCAGAGTCTGAACGGGGATCCTCAGATCTCATCTGCCTGCTCTTTCCTTAAAAAATTATCAGAGAGGTTAAAACAATGATTTTATGAGGAGAAAAAAAAAAAATCTTTCTAAGACTTTTTCTAACTCATAGATAAAATCTCTCAGCTAAGACTCTGTAGCAAGCACAGACAGAACAAGCAGCTCTTCAGCCATGCCCCAGCCCAAAGCTGTGCATAGTTTGGTTGAGGAACCTGTTTACTGATGCGTGCCCAGTGTCTACCTGAGCCAGGGGACAGCTTTGTTGGAAATATGTCTCCTACCCTCTCCTACTGGATGTGGTACTGACACCTCTATCTCCTTCTCACCTCATCTTGTGTGTTTTGACAGAGGCAGTGGGCAGTGATTGTTCCTGAAGTTTGTCAGCAACCACAGCAGCTGCACGCCCTGCCTGTTCTGCCCAGCGTTCTGCTCCACCACCGGAGGATGATAAACACCCCCAAATGTCACCATGCCGATCAGCTCCCACTGCCCAAAAGGTGGTAACAAGCAGGGACAGAGCTGATGTGGTGCCCTGTGATCCTACAGCTCTTTACCTTTGACTTCGTGCACTGGCTCCCTTCCCCACCTGGGAGAGGAGTGCTTCCCTTCCCCTGCGGGCTCTGTGTTTTTAACCATTTGTTAAAATTTATTAGATGCAATCTCCATTCTCGGCTGTGCCAGCGTAGTTGCTGAAGTCCAGGATGGGTGCAGGTGCCTCGGAAGGTCTCTCCTGGAATATCATAAAGCCTGAGCTTCAGCACAGCTGCTGCAAGCTGCAGTGGTTCAAGGACAGGAGCTGTCACAAAAGCACAAACGCAGACCTCTTGGCCTGAGGCTGGTAGGCTCCCAAAACAGCTTTAAAACAAAGCTAGCCTGAGAGAGGCTCTCCTTCTGAAGGATGCACTCATACCTACACGGATCAGCCTTCAGTGTGGGAGAGAGAGCTTTGCTGAAGCACCTCATTTGGGGTTTGGGAATTCCAAAGGGATCTGGTGCCTACGCCTCGGCTGAGAATTTGAACTGCCCTCGCTTAAGGTTGTTTTGGAAAATACCGGCCCAGAGCCCTCTGGATAAAGTCCCTCTCTGGCTCAGGGAGATCCAGCAGGTACCGTACCTCAAAGGGCATGCCTCCATGTCTCGCTGCAGAGACCAGAAAACAGGGGCAAAGATGGGTGGACTTGGAAGTGGTGTACCTAGCCTGGAACCCTGCTGCAGCACCATCGGGTGCTTCAGTAGCCTCGAATCATGTATCCGGACTTGCTTCCTAGACCTCCAGAAGGGAAGACAAATCTCTGAGGTGGAGGTGGGTGAGAAATGCTCAGAGAAGAGGAACCCTCAGCCTGCGCTCATCTCCTGTGAGAACATCAAGGAATGTGTAGAGATACCATCAGGAAACATATCTTGAGCACATAGATGACAACTGAAATAGCAAATGTGACAAGGTTTTCCAGTTGAACTTTGAAAAGCATGTGTGGTGCTGCAAAGAGAGAGGAGGCAGTGTCATGTGGAAGGGTTTCCCTTTCCCTCAATAAAACAGGAAAACAGCCAGGTGGAAGGCAGCCCACAAAGGAGGAGGTGGCAAATGAGGACCGAAGGAAGGATGCACTGGATTAAAAGCACAAGTGTTGGAACCATGTGTGTGCGTGGGGAGTGGTGTCACTGTGACTTTTCCAGGAAGATTCCTTGAACGACCCAGAAACCCCTCTGAGCACATCTTGAAAACCATCTTCACTCAGGCCATGAGAAACAAGGCTTTAGGCATTCAAAACACGTCGAGGATTTCACAGCTGGGGGAAATTTATAAGCAGCTGAATCATCCCCCTCCAAGAAATTCTGGACTGACAGGAAACTTATTTATTCGTTGATTTATTTATACTAAAATTCTTCTCTGCCTACTCCTTGTTTAGTTTTTGTTTTTAGCTTAGATCACCTGACACATTCATGAAGAAAGAATATTTCCCCCCTCTCCCAGGAACGGTAGAGCTTGGAGTTCACGGATGAATGTCACATGTTCTGTGCTCCCCAGGGTTTCTTTAAAATGTTTTTTTAAACTGGCAAAATAATCAGAAACACAGCAAGGAGGGGAGTACAGCAAAGGGAATTACAGCTCCTTTATGCAAGAGATGTGGGTGGTACTAAGTTTCTGGCTCCCGAGCAATCATAGCAAGGTAAAAACTTATGCGAAGGAGTGCCTCACTCAGCAGATAGTCCCCATGGGATCTTGAGAAGCCTCTGTGAAAGGGGCTCATTGAAGGGTATCTGAGAGAGGGAGTTGGTCCGTGTTCCCTCAAATGGGGGATAAGCAGCCACGCATCCTACTGGAAGAGGGGGACTAAAATACAGGAGGGAGGAGAAGAGGCAGCAAACAGAGAAATGCAGCCTGCGTTTAGTGAGGTTTAGGCCAGGGCCCTTCTGGATGAACACCCCCTGCGAGCACTATAAGGCCACGCTGCCAGCCATCTCAGCATGGAGAAATACTGAATGGGACATGAAAACAGTGTCTTCTCTGTGCCCTACAAAGGTCCTTACAGAGCAAGGGTCTGGCATACTGGCACTGGATAGCATGAAGGAAGCCTGATGTCCACCAAATACTTTTCATTCTCCATTTGTCAGAGCTTTGTGTCCTGTCATCTGCAGGAGGTTACAGGCCTTGCACTCCAGTGAGCTTTGCCAATTCATCCTGCCACCAGACAGGTGGGTTCAATGCTTCCACCCATCATTAAGCCAAGATTAAGTCCCCGTCTTTGTGGTTTCAATGAATGAGCAAGAACGAGAGAATAAGAGAGTTGATTTTTGATCCTCCATTTTCGCCTCTGAGATGGGCAGGGTTTCTGCCCGTATGAACAGGAGGGGATATGGTGATAAATTCCTTGGCCTTTAATCTTGTGCAGGTCCTCTGTAGGGTTTTGGCACTGACAGTGGGTGTCTGTAGCAAAAATCTATTCCCATTGCAAAGGATACCCCCATACACATGATTTTACAGAGTTGTTCTCTCTGCATCCCTACAAGAAAGCAAAATTATTCCTGTTTTTCCCACTGGGGACCTGGATTCCAGTGATATGCGCCACACTGTCAGTTCAGTGCCAGTCGGAGTCTGCTCTCAAGACCAGCCCTATTGCACTGTCTCCATTCTTGCCTCAGCCTGGCCCTGTGGAGAAGAGTTTCTGTGAATCAAGAAATTCTGTCAGTCACTAAACTGTGCAAGACCAAGACCTCGTATGGACAGCATGGATGTACACAGCTGATGCTCCAGGCTAGCAGACATTTGGACCTGTTCAGCACAAATACCCTTTTCCCTGTAGAGCAGCCTAAGGACTTCAGGGAATGTGAATGCAGTGAATGCAATGAGGGAAGCTGCAGTTCAAGCCTGAAGTATTTAAACAAGAGAAGGCATCCCAGCGCCTGGTTTTTACTAGCATATTAGTATCTGATATTCATGTTCTCTGAGATTCATCCAATTCACCAACCAATGAATATTACTAACATTTCCTGTTGCAGAAGATACTGTTGACGAAGGAAAGAGAATGTCAAGAAAGTACTTTTTAATGGCTATTTATTTATATTGAATGGTACTAGAGCGTTATTAAATATAATGTGAATAGTACATCGTCTTGTCTTGCAGTGTAAGTGCTTACTCCTTTTCCAAGAAAACACAACAGTCTCTGTAAGGGAGAATTGTATTGGTTTTAGTGGTTCTCATTGCAAGGGTACTCACTTCAGTCTTCATCTGACCCAAATGCTACAAGAGAAGTTCAAGCAAAAACATTTCAGGGCCCTGCGAATAGTACCTACACTATGGAGATAAAGGAAGGAGATAGAAGACAGGAGAGTATGGCCTGAACTCTGTAGTCTCGTGGCATCTCTAGGTGTCATTTTGGTGACATGGTGACCATCCCCACTGAGATTGCTCTGCAAAGGTGCTGACCATAACTCCGAAGTGAGTGGTGGTCAAAACAGAGGGCAGGCAGGCAGTTCTTCGTCACGAGGGAGAGGGGAAAGGTGCCACAAGCCGTTGTAGTGAAATAGCAAGCTGCCTGGCATGACCATGCCTAAACAAGGCTGCTGCTGGTAGTGGGCAGGCCGCCTGATTTCTGTGGAGGACTGCTGGGGGACATTATTGAGGTCTGCTCTGCGGGGTGCACCGTGTCCACTCCAGCTCGGTTGGGCCAGGCAGCTCCTGCACACTGTCCTCTCTGGGAAAAGCCAGGAGAAGCTCTTCTGGCAGCAGTATTGTGGGAGAGCTGAGCACGCACACGACCAATGTGATCAAGCAATGCCCGTTTATTACAACTAAGAAAGTCCTTTTACAATGTTCTCCCGCACACGTGAGTAACATTCAGTACAAGTCCTCAAGATCGGACAGTTAACTTAGCCCGCGCTTTAAACCTTCTTATGATTGGATAAAAAGTGCCACATCAGCCTTGCCAGGCTTCCTGCCTTGGGTAACCTCCTCCTCCGTCCCAACCCCTTCAGGGGGTTGTTTGTCTCATCGAGTTTCTCCCCCCTCATTCAGGGTCACGTCCTTATCGCATTCTTGCTCGGCTGAGGCTCTTATCAGTCTTGTTAGCACACAGGATTGCTCACATGGGCATTCTCTCGCAGAAAGCCCTCTAGAATCTCAACACAGTATGATAAGACATAAGGAATCTCCAGCAAGAATGGGGTGCCACCGTCTCTCCCACTTGGTTCTGCAGGCCATGAAACCTCTCAAGAGACATTTTTCAACTTCCTTTCTCCTGGAGGAGGATCAGTTGCTTAGGACAGCATGTGATGGGAGTCAGGCAAGGGCAGCAGCTTGTGGCCCTCTGCCATACAGCCCACTGCATCTTCTGAGCAAGGGGGAGACACCCAGGAGCAGCACCAACAGGGTAGGGAAGTGCAGGTTAAGACATTACGAGGTCTAGCCTTCCTAACCAAGTGCATGCTGTTTCAGTCCTTGCTTCTGCCAGTCCCTGTAAGCTACAACTCACTGGGAAAAATGCATGAACTCACACTGGGGCACTAGATGTCAGTGCAATGGGATTGGGTAGGGAAACACCTCTAGTCTCTTGGATGTTCCTTCTATCTGGAGGAGAACGAGTGGGTCTGTTTGACAGGAGACCACTGCTGGCTAATCCACAAGCCTGGGAGAAGCTAGTAGACCCAGGTCCTGTTTCTAATGCTCTCACTGATTTACTCTGTCATTTGGACAAGGTACGTGTCATCAGCCCTCTGGGTTTTTCACAAGGGACCCACCTCCCAGAAACGTGGAAGCACTTTTAAGACTCTTTTGAGGAAGCATTACTAAAAATTTAGCATACTAGAGTACAAGCCAAATCCATATCAGTGTAATAAAAAAATCACTTTCACAAAGGTGTTGCTTAGAGTGCACTGTGAAGTTTACAAGCCAAGATTCTGCAACAGGCTGAGAAAAAACTGCTGTAGCCAAAGGTACCTGAAATGTCCACCGCACTCGAAAACACAGTCAATCCCCCTCAAAAGAAGGACAGCTCTGCTTGTAGTGGCTGAAAGCTTCTACAATGCCTGTACAAGGACTAATCCTACCTTCCTCTTCCTTTGCTAGAAACCCTGGGACCTGGGAGGGCAGAGGATAAGACATATTGACTGACACTGCTTGGTATCAAGCTGTTACACCAGCACATCATTCCTACCTTCCTTGGGCCCTGCACTGTCAAAGACAAGCTTCCCAGCCATTCTGCTGCATTTTCAACAGGGATCTAGTGCAGGCCCCAGGAGAAAAAAGCATGGAGGAGAAGGGGAAAAGAAAGCATAAGGAAGAATGAAACTTATTAAACACAGCGAGGTACTTAGTCTCTCATCATGTACAGTGCTGATTGGAGGTGAAATTGCACTTAGAGGGAGGGGACCCCCCTCCCTTGGGACAATCCAGAGGCTCTCGCACAAACTTAATTTCAAGCTCTGTTGAAGATGATGTTTGTCGGGTGGTTTGGTTTGGTTTTTGTTGTGGTTTTTTTTTTTGTATGCATTCGATTTAATTTCTCAGGCAGACATGTGAAAATGAGAAAGGCAGACCTTTGACTGTGAAGACAGCCCGGTGCCTGCTTCTTACAGATCCAGTCTCACGTTGTTTTCCTCCATCACTGCCCTCAATAAATCTGTGCGCAGGGGTTGCTAAAATGCCCGCTACCTCCCTTCCATACTTCAGTGGAGACAGTTAAATTTTTTTTTTTTTTTTTGCATTTAAGCAACGAGATTAATTTTTAATTCAAAACACACCGCAGCTTTCCACAGCTCTGTTTAAAACAGGAGCACTGTGACCTTGAAAAGGCTTGGACCTGCTGGCACCATGTTCTGATCTGTACTCTGCTCTCCAGTCTGTACTTGCTTGTGCTCGTGGTGGCTTCTGATCCACCTGTTTCAGTGGCGGTGGCTGAAAGGGAAGGAAAGGAACTGTATTTGGGTTTGGAAGGCTCCTGAGGGAGATATTCCTGGAGATTCAGTTTTCCCAGCCTGTGCAGAAACATGTGCTGTTCAGGTCCTCTGCAGACAGTTGATCTGACTAGGTGTATGTTAGTTTTCCAGTTTTGAGAGCATATATACACACAGGTAAAAATACAGATTGGTGTAAGGATGTTGCCTTTCCACCTGACCTGCTGCTTCTGCCCAGGAACTGACACAGGGTGACAATCTTTACAATAAAGCCCTGACAGCAAGGAGTTCAGCAGAACTGCCAGTGCAGAACAGTTCCAGCAGGTCTGGCTTTTCCCTGCCTCCAATACAGATGGAGGCAGACAGGCCTTGCCCAAATTGTTCCTAGATCGTGATTTCCTACTGTGACCCAAGAGAGGATCACAAGCAAAGCATAAAGCCTAAAGCAGTACCAGGCCCTAAAACAATTGCTGTCTGCAACCCCAGGTCATACCACAGAAGTCTTGGTTCCTCTGTTGTTTCAAGGTTGATGCAGAGATTAATTCTTTCCTGTCTGTGGCATTGTACTCGCTGGAGCTTTCAGCAGACCAGCAAGCATTTCTTTGTTTTATGGAGGGGAAAACAATCAGGGTGTGTTTGCTGTGGTCATGGGGGGCATGGCACAGGGAAAATGTAAACAGCAGAGACTCACGGCAGCGTGCAAGAAAAGCAATCTCTGCAGCATGGGGTGGGTTTCAATAAAGCGAGACTTTGCCCAGGCAAAAGAAATGTTAAGTACATTTTTTATTTCAAAAAACAACTTGAAATTAAATATGAAATGACAACAATTTGCATCCAGGCCTTAAGCAATCCACTTAAATTGAAGAATGGGTTGTTCTGCGCAGCAGAATGACAGAGGTCAAGTTTCTTATAGATGTGTCCCCTACATCTTAGTCCATCTCTGAAGCAAGAGCACTCTCAGATCCCCATATAAATGCTCTCCCCCATCTTTTTCCCGTGCCACCCCATTTGGAGGGCAAACAGCAGCACTTGCTTAGCCTGGTTGGGGGCCACAGGAGCTGACTGCCCAGCTGACAGCTGCACCTTGGAGCGGGACAGGAGGCTGAGCTGAGGGTGCCTGCCCCCTCTCCCAGGCACAAATTTCCTTTTCACTACTGTCCTCAGTGCAAACCCAGCCACCGACTTTTCTTTGAAGCCTTACAGGAATTTAGTGTCTGGAAGACTTCTTTTCTTCTGCCAAATTTAAATTACAATGGGAACACTTTAATAATCTCTTATACAAGCAGGCAGATGGACTGACAGTACAATCTCATAAACCCCATCTCATTAAGAAAACAGCCAGTGAACAGATGGGTGTAAAAGCCAAAATTTTTATGGGTGGTGAGGCAGGAGATCCCTCACTGTGGAGGTTACACTGCTGTAGTCCCTCAGGCTAGAGTAGCGTGTTCATCTCAGTTCACACCTCCCTGCTCAACTCAATAAGCAACTCAGTCGGGACAGCAGCTGTGGGCTAGCAAAGAAGAGCCACCGCCGCCCCTACTGTTGTCTGAAAAGGGGATTTGTCACCTGGTCTGCAATACATCAACAATCACACACTCAGGGACATTGCTTATTTATTTGAGGGTTGCACAAGCCTAGGTTGAAACAAAGATATTGACTCAACAGTAAAGTTCTACTGTTAAGCAGATATTCTTTATTAGCACCGCTGGGGTCGCCCTGGGGATTCTCCACCATAAGAGCTCCCAAGAAATAACAAGGGACATCAGTTTACATACACACAATTCATACATATTCATTAGATTTTCTGGAAAGGAGTGTCTTATGGTAATGAGTTCCCAGAATTCATTTGCATAGTACAAGCATGCATAGTGAAAATAGGGTGAGGGTCTTTGGTGGTCGAGAGATTAAATAAGTGGTCTTCTTCACAGTGTTCACTAGTTGACCTTCCTTCCAGAGAGTGCGCTGTGAAGTAAAGTCCAGGTGCCTCCTTCCTAAATCAGCAGAATTATCCTCCCTATAATAGGGTCTCTGTGTCTCTCTCGAGCCCCCCTTATCTAAGTTTTTGCATTCTAGGAGTTGCCCAAGTGTCCATTGAAGGCCTTGAGTCTGATATCAGTGATTTATGTAGGGAGCCTAATGAGCATTTTAATCTCACCTAAACAGACAAAGACACCTAAAGAAACAGTTGAGAAGTAAGAAGTCCTTGAGAAACCAATGAATCAAAACACAAGCAAAGCTTTCATACATCACAGTTCAGTCTTAATAATTGTCAGAAATTCATCTGTTTGAGGCCTTTCATGGTGCTTGGTGGTTTCCCACAAATCAAGAACACCAATGGGACTTTTTGCGCTACATTTATATACAAAACTTGCAGAATTAGTAATCTTTCAAGTCCGTCCTCTCTACGATGATTGGTTAGTAGTTTACATACAATTATAATACTGCTCACACAATACTTCTTGTGCATGCTCAGGGGAAGGGTCTTCACCTGGGCAAGAGTCTTCACAGGCTCACACAGAATCACAGAATCATGTAGGTTGGAAAAGACCTTGAAGATCCTCCAGTCCAACCATTAACCTCACACTGACCATTCCCAACTCCACCAGATCCCTCAGCGCTGGGTCAACCCGACTCTCCAACCCCTCCAGGGATGGGGACTCCCCCCCTGCCCTGGGCAGCCCATTCCAACGCCCAACAGCCCCTTCTGCAAAGAAATACTTCCTGACATCTAGTATAAACTTTCTCTGGTGCAGCTTGTGGCTATTCCCTCTTGTCCTATTGCTTACGATTTGGTTAAAGAGACTCACCCCCTCCCTGCTCTGCACCCTCCTGTCAGGGAGCTGTAGAAGGCGATGAGGTCTCCCCTCAGCCTCCTCTTCTCCAGACTAAATCCCCCCAGTTCCCTCAGCTGCTCTGCTCTTGTCCTATATCACTATTTTTAGTATTATAACGAGGGCAGTCCAGCTAAGGACACATGGACCTCGAGTTTGCCAAGTTGGCCACATGCCCTCATCGAGGCCTAATGACTCCAGGATGTCCCTGCTTAAAGAAGCTTATCTGCATGTCCACTGATTAGGGATGCCTTTGCCTTTCACATACACAAAGAACGCCTTTCTTGGCCTAAGTATAATACTGCTACGGTGTTCTAAAAGTTTAATCCCCATCATTACCCCTCTCCCCCGAGGGCCGTGACTACATCTCCCAGCATGCAGCGCGCCGAGGCGC